ATCAATTATGACACCCAAGAATTTCGCCTCATGGACTCTATGAATTTTGGAGCCATCAATTTTAAACGAGACATCAATAGATTTATTTTTATTACTAAAAATCATATAATTGGTTTTATCTAAATTTAATGTTAATTTATTAAGTTTAAACCAAAACTGAACTTTATCAAGTTCAGTCATCATTAATTCCACTGTTTGTTCAATATTATTATTGCTAGCAATATTGTTATTGCTAGTATCACTCAGCCTCCTGTGAATAGCAAACAGCCATCAGTGTGCTAATGATCCATTGTTGCTAATGATCCATTGTTGCTAAAGATCCATTGTTGCTAATGATCCATTGTTGCTAATGATCCATTGTTAGGTTGATGGTCCTCCTTGATCATGTGAACAGCTGGTTTTGACTGTCAGCAGCAAACTGGTTGATCCACCATGAGAAGGTGCTGTTTATAAGACTGAGTTTGTTGTAGCTCCTCAGACTGAAGAAGTCCTTTGGATAAAAGATGAAATGTTTCAACAAGTTGAATCTGTCCAGAGGACCTGACTCAACCTTGTTAGGCAATAAGGGGAAAACCAAGTAGGGTGAATATTTTAGCAACACAGTAATAAAGAGCTCACCTGACGCTATGTGCTCCCTGACAAGTGAGGTTCACAACACAGAGACAAACAAGTCGTTTTGTTTCTGATGATTCATGCAGGACTGGCCCGTTCAGACATTACAGCCAGTTTACTACAGGGGGGGAACACGCCTTCTCTTCCTCATTCCTACCTGCACAAGAACACTTTACCATGCAGCAACAAGCACTCCAGCACTTCCTGCCATGCAACATTTTACTGCTTCATAGTCGCACTGTTTCACTTGGAATAAATAGTGGAGCTCATGCTAAACAAAATGCTTTCAAATTTCTGATTTTTTTTTTTTTTTTGGGGGGGGGGGGGGGTGTTGTGTTTTCAACTTTAAAAACTAAACATAAACACACTGCTATTTAAAGTGGAAATATTCACCAAAAACTGCAGACGTGTTCACACTTGGAGTATTACTCAAGAAGTTTGTGTTGAAATGTTTAGCTGTCAGAATGTGTCTGTTTCCACCTGGAGTCATGTTGGACTGGAGGTTCACAGTGTGCAGAAGTCTTAATGCACTGTTCTCAACTTGCGGCAGAAAGATCTCTGTGTTGTTCTACAACCTACTGGGGCTCAGGAAAACCATTACAGAAACAGAATGGCCAAATATTACAGGTGAAAAACCAACACAGCATCAGGAGGAAGTTAATTCAAGCTTTATTTATACAGGTTAGTCTCACTGAGCCTCGAGGACTCATTTAAAAGCCTGTTTAAATAAAATAAATACAACAAATAAAGAGTTTTTGGAGTCTTTGAACTCACCTCTCCTGTTCATGGGTCGCACTCTCACAGCGACCTTCACGTTAGACCCACCGAGGCTGCTTTCATCCATGGTGCCTCCTGTAAACAAACAAACAAACTGCGGGTTTTTTTTTTCTTTCAACTAGTCAAACTTCAGTTTCAGCCACAGCAGTCTGGAAGTTGCACCGCATGTCCGGTTAAACACTTCACTGTGAGAAAATGATCCACCACCTTCAGCTAGCAGCGACGCTAAAAGCCAATGGGTCAGAAATGTTCACAGAGCCTGACCCTCAACAACACAACAACAACAACAACACAACAACAAAACTGTTCGCAGGGGGGAACTCGGAGTGTAAATACAGCCTGAGGTACTTACAGCCGGATACAGGTGACTCCTCGAGCTTTTCCACCTGTTGCATTTCCTGAAAGTTCCCGCAGAGATCAGTCAACTCGCAGCTAAAGGGATTTGTTGAGATTTAGTCGGCGAGCCTCCATCCACACACTTATGGAATCACCGCCATCTTGTGGATCTCCGACAAATTACAAGCTCGTGCTGTTTAATGTCTGCAAACATTACTGACCATTTATTAAAATGACGCACAGTTAGAGCTTATTATACAATCAGGGTTAGGCTATAACAACAGTTAGCTCTTAATAGTAGCATCGCATATGATTTGGCACTTTGATTTGAGCGCTGGCTGTTCACTGTATTTTACGACAGTTTGCTTCACTTTACGATAGAAGCCGTGTGTACTCGGCACGTGAAGTTGTTTACTTTTTTTTTTTCAAGAGTCGACGGTCTAATGTGGACGTTTTAACAGTCCTCCGTCGTTTGGGCTTTGACGAAGTGTTTTTAAGATAAATGGGGAAGCCAAAGAAAAAGAGTGAGTTTGTCTCGACTTGTGTAAAATATTAAAAATGACGTTTTTCCTAACAGGAAGTAGCTTGTTGCTAATGCTAACTAGCGTGACAATGTTACGAATTTGGTGACAGTTCTCGTGTAAAAATGGGATGTAGATTTTAGTTGTTGTCTTTATAAATTTAAATTATTTTCTATAGGTTTTTTGCAGAATAATAATTTGTCTTCTTTTGACTACCTGTCTGGCCAGAGTATGTAATATAGTTGTATTTTGCCATTTAGCAGCACCTCTTGTTCTCAGTTGGCATTGCTCCACTATTTTTTACTGTATTTATTTTTCTAATGTACATTAGGTTTACTGCTGCTAGACACAGTTTTAATTTTTGTATTATTTTTACTGTTTCTAACGTCATCATTTGTATCCAAAAAAGTTCAATCTGTGGACGTTCAAAAAAAACAAAAAACAAAACAAAGCAAAAAAAATGTAGAAACGTTTCGTCTCTCATCCGAGAGACTTCCTCAGTCTGAGGTGCTGTTTTCAGCTCAGTCTCTTAAATAGCACCTTCTCAGAGTGGATCAACCAGTTTGCTGCTGACAACCAAAACCAGCTGATCACATGCTCAAGAAGGACCATCAGCCTAACAATGGATCATTAGCACACTGATGGCTGTTTACTGTTCACAGAGGGCTGAGTGATACTAGCAATCACAGCATTGTAAGAGGGGGACAGTTGAACCCGGAGGCCTCCACCCCTGTTTAATGATGGACGGTTTATTTTCACAAACATGGCCTCCTTTACTCCTCTCTCAAACCATCGTTCCTCTCTGTCCAGGATGTGAACATCTTCATCCTTGAAAGAGTGACCACTGGCCTGGAGATGAGTGTAGACCGCAGAGTCCTGGCCTGATGATGTTGATCTTCTGTGCTGGGCCATCCTTTTGGCCAGTGACTGTTTAGTTTCCCCGATGTAAGACTGATCACAGCCCTCCTGACAATGAACAGCATACACAACATTATTCTGTTTGTGCCAGGGAACTGGATCTTTGGGATGAACCAGTCTTTGCCGTAATGTATTTTGTGGTTTAAAAGCCACTGGGATGTTATGTTTAGAAAATAAACGTCTCAGTTTCTCTGATACTCCCTCAACATATGGAATGACCACAGGTCTGGGTCTGGGTTCCTCCTTTTCACCTGATGGCTGACTGGAGTCCTGTTTGGGTTTCTTCTCTGCTTTCAGGAAGGCCCAGTTAGGATATCCACATTGCTCTAGAGCCTGTCTCGTGTAGGATTTCTCCTTTTGCCTGGCTCCTGAGCTAGTGGGGACGCTGTCTGCTCTGTGATACAGAGTCCTGATGACTCCTAACTTGTGCTCCAAAGGGTGATGGGAGTCAAACTGCAAATACTGGTCTGTGTGGGTGGGTTTGCGGTACACCTCAGTTTGCAAATGTCCTCTATCAGAGACTGAGACCTCACAGTCCAAGAACGCCAACCTGCCATTTTTTACATCTTCTCATGTGAACTTGATGTATTTATCCACAAAGTTGAAGTGGTCAGTAAAATGTTGGACTTCCTGAGCACAGAAGATCAACATCTTCAGGCCAGGATTCTGCGGTCTACACTCATCTCCAGGCCAGCGGTCACTCTTTCAGGGATGAAGATGTTCACATCCTGGACAGAGAGGAACAATGGTTTGAGAGAGGAGTAAAGGAGGCCATGTTTGTGAAAAGAAATCGTCCATCATTAAACAGGGGTGGAGGCCTCCGGGTTCAACTGTCCCCCTTTTACAATGCTGTTATTGCTAGTATCACTCAACCCCCTGTGAATAGTAAACAGCCATCAGTGTGCTAATGATCCATTGTTAGGCTGATGGTCCTTCTTGACTGTGTGAGCAGCTGGTTTTGGTTGTCAGCAGCAAAACTGGTTGATCCACTCTGAGAAGGTGCTATTTAAGAGACTGAGCTGAAAACAGCACCTCAGACTGAGGAAGTCTCTCGGATGAGAGACGAAACGTTTCTACATTTTTTTTGCTTTGTTTTGTTTTTTGTTTTTTTGAATGTCCAGAGGACCAGACTGAACTTTTTTTGGATTTTTCTACCTGGATTATTGAGCATGCATCAGGATGTCATCATTTGTAGATTTACTTTTTTTGGTTGAAATTTTACATATTGTACTTTTAACTTCTGTTGCTTTGACAAAACACTGTCTGTCTGTGTCTGTCTCCCTGATTGACAGGTGACCTCAGCCGAGCTGAGCTGATGATGATGACCATCGCTGACGTCATCAAACAGCTGGTTGAAGCCCATGAACAGGGCAAAGACATCAACCTTAACAAGTAAGACATGTTAAATGTCGGCGGCCCACCCATGCTCTCTGTTGACTTAAGATTTAAATTGTCAACGTCTGACATTCGTACGTAGTCACGTGAACATTCTGTACAGTACTAGGCTGGGCGGCTGTGGCTGAGTGGTTAGAGCAGTCGTCCTCCAATGCAAGAGTTGTGGGTTCGATCCACCAGCAGTCACATGCCAAAGTGTCCATAGGCAAGACACACTGAACCCCTCATCGCCTCTGATGTGTGTCCCATCGGTGTATGAATGTGATAAAGCTATGATTAGTCTCTTTAGAATGATTTGTTCAATTAGCTTTGTAGAGATCTAGTATAGAGCTGTATGAATGGGTAAATGAGGACACAGATTGTAGTGTAAAGCGCTTTGAGTACCTCGATTAGATAGAAAGGCGCTATATAAGTACAGTCCATTTACCATTTACTAGGTGGCTGGGCTTGGTCTGTGGGAAAGTTGACTAAATGGTGAGACGTTTCTGTGTGAATGATTGAACTTCTAACAAGAAGAAACATCCTAACAGAAACTATTACATTTTTCCATCTGCAAGACAGAGAAGGGAAAAATGGAAAGCTACTGTAGGAGCACTTTGGTCACCACGTAGCACGCACACATACGTCTGTTGGGCACATTTTAATCAAGTGCCTTTTTTGTTAGAATATGTATAAAATGATTATCTAGAGATCTGTACTTCTTCACTGCCTCGAGTGAATTTAGACCAGAAATATACAAAACAAACCATTAGAAATACAAGTGCTGAAAACAGGGCTGGGGGAAAGTGGACAAAGCATTTTATTAGATTAGATCAAACTTTATTGATCCCTTGGTAAGATTCTTTCAGGGAAGCTAAAATTCCAGTAGCATCAAACAGGTGGTAGATTTAAAAAGGGACAGTCAGTAATGCAATAATATATGCACATACACACAGATAATAATACAGTAAATGGTAAATGGACTGTACTTATATTGTGCCTTTCTATCTTATTTCAAGATACTAAAAGCTCTTTACACTACAATCTGTGCCTCATTTACCCGTTCATACAGCTCTACTAGATCTCTACAAAGCTAATTGAACAAATTATTCTAAAGAGACTAATCAGTGCTTTAGATCACATTCATACACAGATGGGACACACATCAGAGGCTATCAGGGGTTCAGTGTCTTGCCTAGAGACACTTCAGTATGTGACTGCTGGTGGATTCGAACCCCCAACTCTCGCATTGGAGGACGACTGCTCTAACCACGCAGCCACAGCCGCCCCATAAAATAATACTCCAGTTACTGGATATTTTAAGGTGGTGGTGGATGCTTCTCCTTCCCATCCTCTGTCCTCCTGTTCCCCCTCCTCCCCCAGTGAGGAGTTGTACAGTCTGATGGTGTGAGGGACAAAGGAGGTTTTCAGTCTGTCGGTCCTGCACTTGGTAAGGAGCAGTCTGTCACTGAACAGGCTCCTCTGGTTGTTGATGACGGTGGGCAGAGGGTGACTGGCAGCATCCAGAATGTCCAGCAGTTTGTCCACAGTCCTCTGCCGTCGTAGAGTCGGCCCGCCTGATCAGTTTGTCCAGTCTTGATGAATACATTTTGGATATGCTGACACTTCCTGTACAGATGGTCAGTGTCTGTTGTCCAGTCCAATTTGTTGTCTAACCACAAGGTACTTGTAGCTTCAGCCCCGTTGATCAGAACTGGTCTTGGCCTTGGTCTGGACTTCCTGAAGTCAATTACCAGCTCCTTTGTCTTTGAGGTGTTGATCTGTAGATGGTTTGTGTGGCACCAGACGGCAAAGTCCCTCGCCAGACTCCTATACTCCTCCTCTGTCGTCCCTGATGCACCTAACAATGGCTGTGTTACCTGCAAACATCTGGATGTGGTAGCTCAGAGTTGTAACAGAAGTTTGAGGCGTACAGGGTGAAGAGAAGAAAAGCCAGTACCGTGCCCTGGGGTGCTCCGGTGCTGCTGGTCATAGTGCCAGACATGGCGTCCTTCAGTTGCTGAGGTAGCTGGAGATCCAAGAAGCCAGGCAGGAGTCCACGTTCAGTTTTTCAAAGTATAAGGGGCTGGATAGGATTGAAGGCCCTGGAGAAGTCCAGGAAGAGAATCTTCACTGTGCCGCTTCCCTTATCTGGATGTGAGTGTAGCAGGTGAAGGATGGCGTATTCCTCACCAACACCTGCCCGTATGCAAACTGTAGACTGTTCTGGGCGTGTTGTACCTGGGGTTGGGGTCTGAAGGGTCTGAGAAAGAGCTGCTCCAATGTCCATCAGGTGTGGAGTGAGTTCCACAAGTCAGAAGTCATTCAGCTCGCTGGACCGGTTCTTCTTAGGGACCAGAATGATGCAGGATGTCTTCCAGAGGGTAGGCACTCTCCCTGGCTGCAGGTTAAGGTTGAAGGTTCGTTGAAGTGGTTGTCCCAGTTCAGTAGCACAGGTCTTCAGAAGTCCACCTTGTCCAGACCTGCTGTGAATTTATGCAGCTCCAAGTCTCAACATACTGAAAAACATTCACACACATTATGAAAGACAATTAATAAAAGTTCTCTCTCAGCTGTCGGTTCAGTTTAGTGTGGATTGTGTAGTCTGATGTTTTGTCAGCAGCAGAGACACAACTATTAGTTATTTATTGTGTTTGGAGTCACACGGGCAGCATCATACCTGGATTTAGGTTATTTTTTAACAGTGTGGTGTTACTGAGTAAATGATGTTTTCTTCTGCAGTCAGATAATTTATTTTAAAATAAAGATATAAATCTGGCAACATAAACCTAACTGCTGTACAGTGAGATGATTTGGTTTGTTTACCAGCTCTAATGTGTTTCCAAACAGAGTGAAGACCAAAACCTCAGCTAAATATGGACTGGAAGCTCAGCCTCGATTGGTGGATATCATTGCAGCTGTTCCACCTCAGTACCGCCGGGTTCTGGTTCCCAAACTCAAAGCCAAACCAATCCGCACTGCCAGTGGGGTGAGACGTTCTCATCCTTCCATTCATAACTCTGTCTGTAGGTTGTGCTGAACTTCTCTGAAGTTCCTGAGTTCTTCTTACAAGTCCCATAAAGTTTGAAGATGAGTCTCCTAGTCTTCTGTTTTGACATTCAAATTATAAAAACAAGAATAAAAACCAAAAGATAGAAAGTCATCTACTTCCTGTCTCTGTCACAGATTGCAGTTGTAGCTGTGATGTGCAAACCACATCGATGTCCTCATATCAGCTTTACAGGAAACATCTGCGTGTAAGTCTCCCATTTTTACTTTTGTCCTTCTGAAATATTTATTTTAACTATGGTCTGAAGATATGATACAATTATCTAAATGACTGTTTTACTAATGAACAAGACAAAAACTTTAGGAAGCTTCAAGAAATATGGAGATTTCCTTTCTGAGGCGAACTGGGCTCAGATTCACTAAGATTGTGCTGTGCCTGCTTTTTGCTCTATTTTTAGGCATCATTTGCCCCCCCCCCCCACCCCATCTGCTCTGCCTCAGTAGCAGAAAAACAAATAGTTCTGATTTTACGTTGCTGCAAACTCTTCTATCAAGTTTATCAGTTGTGCCTGTCGTGCTGTCTTTATGTCCTTCTGTCTTAAACCCAACAGATTCAAGGATTCAAGAATCTTCATTTGTCATACACACATGGTGCATGTGGTGGAATGAAATTGTGTACACAGGGTCCCAGTTACATCCAACAAAAGTATAAAATGTAAACGAAAAAAACAGTAATAAGATCTAAGATATTAATTAAGAAAAATGTTAACTAAAAATACACTAAGCACTGGTAGCATAAAAACATTACGCCAAAGAGCAGCATGAACATGAGTCTGTGAACAGATGAGCATGAATGAACACAGCAACATGAAACAGATCAGCAGCGACATGAAACAGATCAGCAGCAACATGATGTGATTTTTCACAGTGATTATTCTGGTTAGAGATTCGTGAGTCTTAACAGCCTCAGGGTAGAAGCTGTTCCTCAGTCTAGTAGTTCTACACTTAATGCTCCTTAACCTCCTTCCTGAGGGGAGCGGGGCAAAAAGTGTGTGTGCTGGGTGAGTGGGGTCCTTCATGATGCAGGTGGCTCTCTTCCTGCACCAGATGTGACTAAGAGAGAGAGAAAACATGTTTTCTTACAGTCCAGCTTCCTTAACAGATGAAATGTAGAGACTTAAACTACAGGACAACATCTGGCACTCAGGATGGACTCTCTAAGAAATTGACAAGCGAAAATTTCTGCTTTCTTGATCTTCCATCCATCAATCAATTAATCAGTCAATCAATCAATCTTTACCTGCTTTATACTTTTTGGGTCGTGGGGGTCACTGGCGTCCATATCCAGCAGTCACCAGGCCCGGAGTGGCCAATCGGGAGGGCCGCCCCACCTCCACCGCAGGGCTGCAGCTCTGGGTGTTTTTTTTTTCTTTTTTCCACAAGTCGACTCCGCTGCGCGACCTGTCAATCAGCCCAGTAGGCGTGTCAACAAATGACCAATTGGTAACCTCAGTTTGTCTGAAGGTAAACGCCCTTTACCTGAGGCTGCAGCCTGGACGCTACAGTCTGAGGGGTTTGTGAAAAATCACCAGAACAAAATGGTTAAACGGTGTCAGTGGAGAACAGGTAATCCAGTCACGTGTTACCCTGAGCGTTTAGAGGGTGGGATACAGTTTATTCTTTTTCAAAAATTAAACGGAGTTTGGAAAACATGTAAAAAGCTGGGGACGACCCCATCAGCTGATCACAAGTTATAAACAGAAAGTAGCTACCACATGTTCATCTCTACAAAAGTAACTGCAGGTAAATCCTCCATTTTCTGTCATAATTACATTGTATGCTTAATGGTTAAATTAAAGGTTAATGCTTAATTCAGGTTATGTTTATTTGTCATATGCAGGTTAACACAAGGTTAACAGTACAATAAAATATTCAGGATGAGAAGAACTGATTTGACTCGCTAAAAAAGCTAGTTGTGCTTTTTGTGTGTTTTATATGTTGCACAAGTTTAGTCTTTGTTAAAACCAAACTGATTTTATACAGTGTTTAATAGATTGTGTGTGTAAAATTTACACTCTTACATATTGAATTTCACTGTGAGTTCTTACCCTGTGTCACACTGTGGCATGAAAACATCTACTGCAGTAACTATTTTAATTTATTAGTAGTTTAGAATTATTTTTTGCCTCAGTTTTGGCTGATAAGACATAATTGCCTCACTAAATGCTTCAGGTAACACCATGAGCTTCACTACCTTCACCATTACAGATATCTTGTTTGTTAGTTTGTCCGAGGTTAGCTCACCCTGTGTCACATTTCCTCGTGGGCGAAGCGATCTTACCGTTCATGTAAAATATTTGATAATGTTCTTATAGAAACAATTCCTGAATGTTTTTCATACTGTGTTAATGCTACATGTTTGTCTCTTAACCCTACAACTGGCTAGGATGCATGAGAGAAGTGGAGCGTGCTCTATTCACACAAGGAGAGCCGTTGGTCAGACTACTTCTTGAGCCAATAACTCTAAAATAGTTACTGAATCAAGTGTTACTAATGTAGGCAAAACTAAATGTTAAACAGCCTGTTAAAATACACCAGAATGCAGGAAATGGCATCTACTTTATTCAAAATTTTCTGGGGGAGGACCCCCAGACTCCCCCACCAGTGTGCCCACCTCCCCCAAATTACATTAAAAAAAGCTTCTGACGTCAGTTGTCACCACATTGTTCAAGCCGAGAGCCATTGTCATCACTGGGGGCTAAAAGCGCCCCTAAAAGGGCAGATTCTAGAATCGCCCCTGATGTAAACTTATAATTACATGATTTTTATAATAATAGGTCGTGATCTAAAGTGGGCCACTCTGAGGTTGAAACTCCAGGGCTGAAAATGAGTCCCACTCCGGCCCTGGCAATCACTGTGCAAGAGGCGGGGGACACCTGGACAGGCTCCAGTCCATCACAGGGACACGTGGACAGGTCTCAGTTCATCACAGGGACACCTAGGGACAATTTAGAGTTACCTATCAGCCTAACATGCATGTTTTTGGCCTGTGGGAGGAAACTGGAGTACCCGGAGAAAACCCACGCAGCACGAAGAGAACATCAAACTCCACCCAGAAAGGTCCTCGGCCAGGAACTGATCCGGTGACTAGGGGTGGGCGATATGGTTCAAATATAATTTTGTGATATTTCAGAGCATTCTGGCGATAACGATAAATTTTGTGATATAACAAAAAAAAAAAAGAATTCATAGTTATTCATTTGACAAAATTAACTTAACATGTTGCTTTATATAAAAAAAAACAAAAAAAAAAACAAGGGTTAATTTTACTGAAATTATTTAGTAAAGTATTCAGTCTCAAAGTATAAAAAAAAAAAAATAAAATGATCCTTCTGTTATATAGATTGAAAAAGTCTGCACAGAATATAGCTCAACAAAATCCACCACAAAAATTAAAGTGCAGGTGGAGAGACAGCTGAGCCTCTCGTTGTTTATTTTTAGCTTTTTAGCTAGCTAGTATTGCGCGCAACTAATTAGCGTTACACCAGTACCGACAGGTGGTGGGTGTGTGTGTGTGGGGGGTGGGGGGCAGTTTGGTTTGGTCGTTTGGCACGCTCGGTTCTGTTAACAAGTCTTGACGTATTACATCATGAAATTAGCATATCATGATATCATTTATTTGCCCGGGCAAGCTTTTTTTACCGGTATTATTGTGAACGATATGATATGACCCAGCCCTACCGGTGACCTTCTTGCTGAGAGGCAGCAGCAACATTCGTCCACATCCATGTGAAAGAGTCACCAAGTTGGTGCAAACACACACCTGCGATTGTTGCTGCCGAGGGTGGAACAACCAGTTATAGACTAACTCAACCAGTTAGAGCTGAATTATTGGGATTTTTTTCCTCTTAATAAATACATTTATATTTTAAAGCTGCATTTTATATTTAATCAGAATAACTGTCTGATGTTACCATTTGTTTGATGGTCTGACGTCAGTAAATGTAACAAAAAGTCAAAACCAACAGACATCTCTGAGGGGACGAAAGCTTTTCTTTAGGATGGTACGTGTGTAAATTCTAATTGTCTTTGTTAAAGGCTGCACGATGCTTCAATGAATTCAGACCTCTGTCTCTGTATAATGTTTGTTTGTCATATTTCACTGACGTCTATGTATAACTTTGGCAGGTACTGTCCAGGTGGACCGGACTCTGACTTTGAGTACTCCACACAGTCTTACACCGGCTATGAGGTGAAGCTCTTTTACACCTATTTACTCAAACAGCAAAACATCTTCTTTTATTTCTGTGATTTTTTTTTTTTACCTAAAGTTTTTTTTCTTTTTTAATCCCAGTTTATGTGTCTGTGGGAAAATTTCTTTCATTTAAATAATCACACTCACTTTATTGTCCCCGTCACGGAGCGAAAGGGGGGATTGGAAATACTCTCAGTCTGTCTGTCCATGAATGTTGTTTACGCAATAACTTGAAAAATAAGTTGGGTACCAACGTCCATGTGGGTGTGTGGCTTCATGTAGGCATTAGAAAGGTTCCTTTTGAAAAGTGCATTGGTGCATCAAAATCCAAGATGGCCACCACCATATATACAGTATATATTTTCCACAGGAAAAAAATGTTTGTGTGTGTAAACTGACTATTCATTTGAGAAAACTGTGCTTTGTAATTCTTATAGTGCTTGAAAGTTTAGTTTTCTAAAGTGAATGGCGTGGCCGAAGATTAATCTACAAACCGGATTCCAAAACAGTTGGGACACTAAATAAATTGTGAATAAAAACTGAATGCAATGATGTGGAGGTGCCAACATCTATTTTATTCAGAATAGAACACAAATCACAGATCAAAAGTTTAAACTGAGAGAATGTATCATTTTAAGGGAAAAATCTGTTGTTTCCAAATTTCATGGCGTCAACAAATCCCAAAAAAGTTGGGACAAGTCCATTTTTTACCACTGTGTGGCATCCCCCCTTCTTCTTACAACACTCAACAGACGTCTGGGGACAGAGGAGACCAGTTTCTCAAATTTAGAAATAGGAATGCTCTCCCATTCATGTCTAATACAGGCCTCTAACTGTTCAATCGTCTTGGGCCTTCTTTGTCGCACCTTCCTCTTTATGATGTGCCAAATGTTCTCTATAGGTGGAAGATCTGAACTGCAGTCTGGCCATTTCAGTACCCGGATCCTTCTCCTACGTAGCCATGATGTTGTTATTGCTGCAGAATGTGGTCTGACATTATCGTGTTGAAAAATGCAGGGTCTTCCCTGAAAGAGATGACATCTAGATGGGAGCATATGTTGTTCTAGAACCTGAACATAGTTCTCTGCATTAATGGTGCCTTTCCAGACATGCAAGCTGCCCATGCCACAAGCGCTCATGCAACCCCATACCATCAGTGATGCAGGCTTCTGAACGGAGCGTTGATAACAACTTGGGCTATCCTTGTCCTCTCTGGTCCGGATGACATGGCATTCCAGTGTTCCATAAAGAACTTCAAATTGTGACTCATCTGACCACAGAACAGTCTTCCATTTTGCCACACTCCATTTTAAATGACCCCTGGCCCAGTGCAAACGTCTGAGCTTGTGGAGCTTGCTTAGAAATGGCTTCCTCTTTGCACTGGAGAGTTTCAGTTGGCAACGGCAGATGGCACGGTGGATTGTGTTCACTGACGATGCTTTCTGGAAGTATTCCTGAGCCCATTCTGTTATTTCCTTGACAGTGGCATTCCTGTTTGAGGTGCAGTGACGTTTAAGGGCCCGGAGATCACGAGCATCCAGTAGAGTTTTACGGCCTTGACCCTTACGCACAGCGATTGTTCCAGATTCTCTGAATCTTTTGATGATTTTATGCACGGTTGATGATGATAACTTAAAAGTCTTTGCTATTTTATGCTGGGTAACTCCATTCTGGTATTGCTGCACTATCTTTCTGTGCAACAATGGTGGAATTGGTGATCCTCTTACCATCTTGGCTTCTGAGAGACACTGACACTCTGAGAAGCTCTTTTTATACCCAATCATGTTGTCAATTGACCTAATTAGTGTTAATTGGTCTTCCAGCTGTTCGTTATATGCTCAATTTCCTTTTTCCAGCCACTTATTGCTACTTGTCCCAACTTTTTTTGGGATTTGTTGACACTGTGAAATTTTGAATCAACATATTTTTCCTTTAAAATGTTACATTTACTCAGATTAAACTTTTGATCTGTCATCTATGTTATATTACGAATAAAATATTGACATTTGCCATCTCCACATCATTGCATTCAGTTTTTATTCACAATTTGTTTAGTGTCCCAACTTTTTTGGAATCCGGTTTGTATGTTTGTCAAGGCCACCATTAGCCACCCCCTGGCTCCTCCACTGTACCTGATGGAAGATAAAATTGCTCCCCCAGCTCGTCATTCTCCGTCACTCTACGTCACTCTACGTCACTCTACGTCACTTTACGTCACTCTACGTCACCTTGGACAAGGAAAAACTACAAAATGTAACTCCTATCCACTTAAATGTCATCCACAAAAACATATAGGTTTACTTACATTCTCTGTTCAATTTCAGTCCAGAAAAACATTCAAACTACAAAAAGGTCACATTCAGCTCCCTCAGCGACGGGGGCATTGGCGTACGGCTTGTTTTTGTTAAGCTTTAAACTGTTCAGTAGGTAAAAATTCAGTTTCTCTTTTCTTTATTCTTATTTTGTACCTTTTCTGTAGCCAACGTCCATGAGAGCGATCCGAGCTCGGTACGACCCGTACCTTCAGACCAGAAGTCGAGTGGAGCAGGTCAGTGACTCGTTACACTCAGCTGTATATAAATGCGTGGTGTTCTGTTGAATTTATGGTTTAGTGCATCCTGTTTGCATTACCAGAGCTCAGTTTAGATGTTCGAGGCATCACACTGTTTGGTTCATTTAGTTTCAAGATGAAATCCCACTAAACTAATACGAAGACAGCTTTTACCCACAAATACAAAATAGTTTGGAGAGTTTAGAATAAATCTTGGGTGCAGTAATGAGTGTCACAGGTTCCATTACCCTGCAAGACCCTAATTATGCCATTAGAAAATTAACGATGGCATTAATCTGACGCAGCAGAGCAAAGCTCAACATTAAAGGAACTCTATAAATGTCAAGCAGCGAGGGTGGAGCTAATAAAAATCTAATTGAATTTTCTTACACGCTATGATTCTGGTAATTAAAACCCACTCAGAACAACAACAACAACAAAAAGTTCTGCTTTTTTAAATACAGATTGTTTTTTGTCATTTACATTTTTCAAGCATTTTGAATAAAACATACAACTGAACCCATTACAGAGCAATAAAAGTTTGTACTGCAAGATGGAAAAGAACTTTGAAGAAATTAGAAAACTTTTTGAGACTTTCTTCTAAAATTGAAAACACATATGTTTATCTGAATTAAGATAGAAAGAATAACAGTAAAATTATGAGTTAAGGTTTAACTTCTAAAGAAATAACAAAACAGTACTTCCTGTTAGCTGTGATGCGTTCAAGTGTCTGTGACCTGCAGATCTTACCAAAACAAAAAGTGGAAGAACAGGTCTTAACCCTTTCATTGTGCTTTAGCTTTATGACCATCCACGTTCCTTCTTGACTAAAATACAGTTTTTAAATGTTTGTTCCACAACAAACGAGTCAGTATTTTAGAGCTATCTCAGGGCGGAATAAAAGTATTAAATGTTATTGGTTTTAACTCTTTAAATTTGAATAAACTCCACATTTTTGTAAAAAAAATTAAAAAAAATCCCCCATTAGTGCACCCCAAATTATTTATTTTGACTGTTTTTTTTTTTTTATTTGTATTCCAGTCTTGAGTTTTGTGAAGACCCTCTAATGAAAAGCAAAACTCTCATTTTATTTTTCATTTGTACGGACTCTGATCTAGCAGCGAGCTGCAGGAGCATGGTGCACCCTCTAATGACCTCCTGCTTTGGGTGAAGCTAACAGCTGTCGTGCCGTGGAGTGTCCCATGCTGCAGCCTGCATGCATGTGCAACACAGTTTTAGTCTAAAAGTTTATTTGTACACATTACAAGTGATCTTTAGTTTTTACATCCAGACTAAAACAACTGTTTCACACGAGATGAGAGTCAAGACTCTGCAGAGACATCTGGCTGACACGAGGTTCTGATTCTAGATGGAGTTGAACTCAGTCTGTAGATTTCTGCAGAAACTCTCAAATGGAACAACAGATTACCACCTACTTAGCTAATGCAAAAATCAGGAGTATAATCTATGGTGGTCAAGGCCACCATTGATCACCTCCTGGCTCTGCCATTGTGCCTGGTCTTGGATAAAGTTGCTCTGCCCACTTGCCAGGACCTGTCACTTTACCCTGCCTCAGACAAGAAAAACAACTCCTTCCTCTGTTCACCACAGTGTCACTCCTAAACACCTGAATATCCATCTATCCATCCATCCGTCCATTATCTTTTACCCGCTTCTTCCATTTTGGGTCATGGGGGTCACCGGTGCCCATGTCCAGCAATCACTGTGCGAGGGGCGGGGTACATCCTGGACGAGTTGCAAGTCCATCACAGGGCCACATAGAGACAAACGAGACAAACAACCTTTCACTCTCTCTCTCACCTAGGGACAATTTAGTTACCAATCAGCCTAACATGCATGATGGTCTGTGGGAGGAAACCGGAGTACCTGGAGAAAACACACTCATGCACTGAGAGAACATGCAAACTCCACCCAGAAAGGCCCCATGACCGGGATTTGAACCGGGACCTGCTCGCTGAGAGGCAGCAGCTCTACCAGTTGCACCACCGTGCTGCCCTACACCTGAATATCTCACACCAAAAACATTTAGGTTTACTTTCATTCCCTGTTCAGTTCCAGTCGAGAAAAACACTCATCTTGAAAGCTACAAACATTCACTTTTCAAACCCCTCAGCGACGGGGGGGTGGGGGTGGACACATCAGTGTACAGCTTGTTTTTAGAGAACAATCTATGTTTTCTGCATACAGTTGTATGTAGTCCAGTGGATTAAATTTGTCTAATGGTTTCCATGTGACACAGCTGAAGCAGCTGGGCCACAGTGTGGACAAGGTGGAGTTCATCGTGATGGGGGGGACCTTCATGGCTCTGCCTGAAGACTACAGAGACTCCTTCATCAGGAACCTCCACGACGCCCTGTCTGGACACACGTCCAACAACGTGGCCGAAGCTGTCAGGTACTCATGTTTCTGCATGTGTTTTGCACAGTAGCCAGCAGGTATAAACGCGCCGCAAACAGTTAAACGGATACCAAACAGCTAAACAGACAGCAAACAGCTAAACAGATAGCAAGCAGTTAAATGTGCCGCAAACAACTAAACATGGGGGGGGGGGGGGGGGGCGGCACAGTTTGGTTCAGTAAGCGGGGAGCTCGGTATAATGGTAGGGGAAAGACTGATTAGAACGTTTTGCCACAGTATGAAATCAGGATTAGGAGGGAAGATTAGCAAAACCAGCGGTAAGTTCAGCTAAGATGATTTGTAATAGAGCTGGGTGATATCTCCATATTTTAAAAATATCGAGATAATTTTTTTTTGTGATATAAGTTGATATAAGTCTCAATATAAAACAATATAGTTTTATACTTGGAAATCCTCCTGCTGTCTCTTTCACCCACTTGCCCCCCTCCTTGAACACAAACATACCCCTCAGTTGCGCTCCCCTCCTTTCTGCTTCTCCAGGAGCTGGGCGGGCAGGAGAGGAGATGAGCAGTTTAGCTGCTGAACAATATGAAAAACAATGACTGGTCTTTTGGGGATGGTTTGAATTTAAATTGTCAGATGAGGGGCAGAAAAATTATTTCTGTAGCCAATGCTGAAAACAAATCCCAACGAAAGGTTGGAACTACGAATCTTTTTCACCATTTAAACTGCGGAGTGGAATATGAGTGTGAAACTGTGGTAGTGAGCCTCTCTGAACTGTGAAGCTGCAGGTCCAACAGATCTGACTCCTTCCCTGAAACAAACCACTGTTCAGAACTCATTTAGCCATGCTGTGCCTTTTAGAGGAACAGAGAGAGGTGACAGCATAAATAAATCAGCAGTTTATCATATCGCAAAGACACGGTTAGGGCTGCAACAACGAATCAATAAAATCTATAAAAATCGATGATTAAAAGTGTTGGCAACGAATTTCATTATCGATTCGTTGTCGTGCGATTATGCGTCTTTCACGGCGCTGCGGAGCCGTTTTGTTCACCTGCAGTTCATTGTCAATGCTGACTGACTGAATAAAGTGAAAAAAAAAACAACAACTCTGCAGCGCGAGTTGAACAGAGCGAGGGGGGGGAGACAGAAGCAGAGAAGAGGCGGTGTGTTCAAAGGAAATTAAATAAATTTTACAAATGACCGACTCAGCAAAAACTGTTTGACCCAAGTCCTACAAAGTGTGGGAGCACCTGACGCTTCACAAAGATAAAAACTGCACAACGTGCAACTTTGAAAAGTGACGACACGACACGGGAGAACCACGGAGATGAAAGGTAAACATGTCGGAGTCACGAGGAGGAAGAAGGAGCTGAACAGCAGATACAACTTGTCTCACTCCCAACTCATGTTGCAGGTGAGTCTCTACAACATCCAACATTTGTTCTGTTTCCAAGTGAGAAAACGTAACGTCAGTCTCTCTGGTAGATGAAGCTGCTGCTTGTTTGCTGATTAATGACAGTGATAGAGAACGTGTGTGTTACTTTTTATGTAATTTAATTGGTACAAGCAGTGTTTGAATGTGATTTATAAATAAATCTAACACAAAGATAATAATTTAATGATTAAGCTTCAACTTTTAATTTGCTGGCAAAGTCTGAAGACACTGCATGTATGGCAGGATGAATTGCATTTAAACAGGAATTAATGTAATTTATTACATCTACTCAAATGTGTGTAATTAAGTTTTTTTATATGTGTGTGTGTGTGTGTGTTTAATTGCTCTTTGAGCTACTTTTGCCTGAACCTAACACTGTAATTTCTTGAGTTGCTGTAAATGCTATAATACATATTTACTCTCTCATTCCAGAAAACAACAACAAACAATGACAGCCTTCATGATGGACAGACATCATGGACACCAAAGCAAGCAGCTGTCTTCACTGAAAGATCCTTAAATGGATCTGTGAACAGTTAAGTGGCAGTTGGTCCAGAGTGTCTCCTTCACTTTCAGCCCCTGTCGCTGTGAAGAGCAGCCGTGGTGGCTGCCTTATTAAACCGTTACCGTTAGGTATTTCATTTATTTATTTATTTATTTGGTGTGTGTTTTACACCTGTAATGGGTTTCACAATTTGTGTTTTTGGTGTTTGTGACATTCTGTGTGTTCGGGGGGGCCTGTGTGGCGGACACAAATGTATATATTTTACATCAGAATGTGCTCTTATTGTGAAAGGTACATAATGTAAATGGTGTCTTGTCCTCTGGACGTTCAAACAACAAAACAAACAAAAAAAAAAAAATAGAAACGTTTCGTCTTTCATCTGAAATACTTCTTCAGCCTGAAGAAGTCTTTCGGATAAAAGACGAAACGTTTCTACTATTTTTGTTTTGTTTTTTGAATGTCCAGAGGACCAAACTAAACTTTTTTAGATAGGCTTCACTACAATAATCCAGTTCACAGTTCAGAGTGGAGGCTGACTACCACAGTTTCACACACGCTTATTATCATGTAGGGGTGCAGCTGAATAGACTGTACTTATATAGCTCCTTTCTTTCTTATCAAGACACTCAAAGCTCTTTACAACACGATCTGTGCCTCATTTACCCATTCATGCACTATACTAGATCTCTACAAAGAATATTCAGAGCTTTATCACATTCATACACTGATGGGACACACATCAGAGGCAATGAGGGGTTCAGTGTCTTGCCCAGAGACACTTCAGCATGTGACTGCTGGTGGAATCGAACCCCCAACTCTCCCATTGGAGGAAGACTGCTCTAGCCTCTCATCCACAGCCGCCCCCTGCTGAAGAGGATTATTATTTAATATATGTAAATACATGTCTAAAAAATAAACTAATATGTGTAAATAGTTTATTTTTTAGACATTTATTTTGTATAGTTACAGCTGTTGTTAATAAATGTGTCTGTGTGACAACTGGGACAAAACTTTGACTCGGAAATATATTTTTGTTATTATTTTATGAAAAGAAAAAATATCGAGATATATATATCGTATGTCGTGATTTAGCTTAAAATATCGAGATATAAATTTTGGCCCATAATCGCTCAGCTCTATCTTGTAATATTGTTTTGTTTTTGCACTTTTATTACAGAGACAATACCAGCATGTTACAGTTTTGTCCACCAGAGTGAGACATTGTACCATTTATTATCATTTATTACTCTTTCTCCTCTTAGCAAAAATAATAATAATTTAAAAATAATCTCCCTGCAGTTACTGAGAGACAGAAATGAAAACTTTTTCAACACTTAATTATCCTAAAAAAAAATAAATTAATTAAATAAAAACTTGACTTGCTCTTTAAATGATTTCTTTTACAAGAAGTTTAGATGTTTATTTAAAAAAAAATAACTCTGATTATATATATTTCCAAAAAGTTATGAGCAATACAGTCAGTGTTTTTAAAGTACTTTAAGGTAAAGTTTAAGTTCATTTTGTTTAGAAAGGTTTAAACACAAATAAAAATATTTGGACTTTTCCTTTACAAGATACTGTACATGCTTGATATTTTTTTGTTTGTTTGTTTTTAGGCCTATCAGTATTTTATTAAAATAAAATTATGTAAGTTTTGTTTCACGCTTTTTGTGTGTGTATATAATTATTTTATTTTATTTTATTCTTCTTTCTGCTGCTCCCTTTTTCACGGGTCACCACAGCGAACTAACTCTCATAAAGACTTTGTGATTGTATTTACACCATATGTCCTTCCTGAAACAACCACTGACCACCGAGCTACCACAGCCCTCTGTGTGGAGCAGAGAGCTGTCATCTAGGGCACCCAGGGGAGCAGATGGTGGAGGTTAAGGGCCTTGTTCAAGGACCCAGAACCACTCATATATATATATATATATATATATGTGTGTGTGTGTGTGTGTGT